CTCTCTCTCTCTCTCTCTCTCTCTCTCTCTCTCTCTCTCTCTCTCTCATATTATTAATTTAACAGTTTCAATGTGCACGTCTACAGGATGAATCAGATACCTGAGATGTTCCTTATCCTTTTTGAGATTTGACAATTCAAACAAATACTTATACAATCCTACATACTATCTTTGCAATTCAGATATTTAACCACCAATTAAGATATGTTTACACCTCGTTAAGACGTTTTAAAGAGTCAGCAGGAGTCCTCTAACGGTTTGCAGCTTTAATGACTCTCTGCAGTAAACAGTGCGATCAGCTGGTTGTTCACCATACAGGACGGTTAGAGTAGATACCTGAGCAGCTCTACCAGACCTAGCTCTACGCTGAGCCCCCCCCTCCCCCTCCCCTCTCTGATGAGTCTCATTCAGGTCTCTCTTTGATCCCCTTCCCTATCACTGGGCTCTCGGTATTCGGCCGTGTTGTTGGAGCAGCGTGAAACGGTGTGAAGTTATTAAACGGAGCATTGATGATGGATCTGTGCACATGGCTGCCGTGAGGCCAGGCAGAAAGAAATGTGAGCGGCCGGCGAGCTGCAGCTGCTGTAGATCACACTGCAACAAGTGCTGCTCCAAAAACAAGTTCAACAATAATGAAAACAAGCTGTTGTCACTGGAAATAAGTCCAAAGGTCTGCCAATAGAACAAGTGAACATCAGCTTGGTGAGATGTCTTGAAATAAGAAGGGATATCTAGATGAATCAGATCTAGTAATTAGCAGGAGAACTCATTGTGAACTGTATTTGACCAGGATCAGGAAATGTCGTGTTACAAAATAAGCCGCTAATGCTGGATATTCAAAATGATCCCAGTAACATCAATTCTCCACGGTCAGCTCATTGTGAGTGTTTTTTTATCGCCATTCACAACAACAACCTTTCTCCTCCCCTCCCTGGCATGCACCATGTTCTTAGAGCAATGCAGGACGTTCAGTTTGTTGCACAACAACAACAACAACAACAACAGCAGGAGGAATTACTAACATGCAAACAGTTCCAAACAGACACTAAAGTGCATCAGGACGGACTGTACCTGCTCCGCTCGTTTGCCGCGAGCAGAGGAAGACTCCTTCTGCAGGGAAAACCAGTCGAACACAGAGAAACAGAGGGATGAGTTACGGCTGTTTGTCCATAAAGGCTTGCCGTAGTTTCTTTAGCACTAGAGGAAGTTCATAGAGCTCACTATTATTAGATTCTCTGCTGCACCCTGACGCACACATACCGGCAACAGTCATTGGAAACAGCTGTTAAATATGTGTGCTAATAAATTATGTTGATGCTAATTGTGTTAACTTGGCACTTCCAATGTTATGTTAGCATTAATGCTAATCGTCAGCCAGCTGTGTGTACTGCATCGAAATCTCATGTTTTCCCGTATCTATGTTGAGTTCATTGATTAATGATGACGTGACAACAGAAGTAAATGTGTGTAAAGACCCTCAGATAAACATCCTAAAGGTAGCTGGTGTCTCCTCGCTCATTATTAAAGACACGGTTAGCCATCTGCAAGTTACATTCCAGTGAGAGCCGAATAATGAAAGTGAACACTCGGGTCATTAAGTCTTTCATGGCTTTTCACCCCGAGTTAAGAGGATGAGAGGCAGGGGAGCTGCTGAAGCTTGAGAAGACAGATTAGAGCAGAGGAAGGAGGAAGGGGAGAGTGGTCTGCGGGTCACTGAGTGTATCAGTGTGCTATATTCTGGGGTAGAGACCTTCCGGCCGAAGCTCCAAATAAACCCTCAGTGTTTCCATCAGAGCTCCAGCTCTCCCGTGTCTCTCTGAGTCTCCATTGATGCAGAAGCTCCCCCCCTCACAGTGGGGGGTCACTGGTTTCTCAGGGACTCACCTTGTCCCCCTGGTAGGCGTCGGGCAGCTGCCAGTAGTGCGGCTCCTGGCCCAGGTAGTCGAAGCTGGTGTAGGACAGCTGCGTGCCCTCGGTGGAAACCTCCACGGTGAAGCCGCTGGAGATTCGGTTGGTGCGCTGACGGTTCACCAGAGCGAAGCCCTGGAAGTTCCCTGGAGTGAAGACGGTGGAAACCTGCAGGAGAACCCAGGAGGACAGGAGTTTGTGATTGATTCAGCACTTATTATTCTGATCGGACGTTTGGTTCACTTTGAAAAAGTGATGGGAAAGAGTCTGAATGGCGTCTGACTGATGAGACTCAGTCCTCCTTTACCCTAAGTTATATATGTATTTGAACAGTGTTGGGCTGATTGTGGTGCTAGAGAGATGATCAACTCTGACACACATTGTGGATTCCTTGCTATCTTTGCAGTAAGTGGAAGGAACCCTGTCCATAGAAGACAGGCTGTGGAGTCTTCTCTATTGCCTCATGTTCTTAACCCATGAAGATTGTATTTTATTTGCTTGTGTTTTTGTGACCTGGTAGGCACTTTCTTAAACCTCAAATTCAAAGACCTTTAAAGCGTATTCGTAGGCTCAAACATGTCGCACTTTGAGACAAAGGTCAAGGGTCATTTTTGTTGCACTTTCTTAAGGTAGGAAACAATGCCTTCAAGGATTCAAGTACACACGTAATCCATGCATTAGCACTGAAGGAACTCTGAATATCAGCAGTGTTTTCCTGCAGACATCAGTCCATCTCTGGAGGATGTGCTCAGTGGTTTGGATGCATCATGCATTCGCTCTGAAACAAACAAGTGACCTCTACCAGGTCTCTGTAGTATCCAGTCCTTCTCAGTGTGTCATTACCAGGTCTCTGTAGTATCCAGTCCTTCTCATTGTGTCATTACCAGGTCTCTGTAGTATCCAGTCCTTCTCATTGTGTCATTACCAGGTCTCTGTAGTATCCAGTCCTTCTCATTGTGTCATTACCAGGTCTCTGTAGTATCCAGTCCTTCTCATTGTGTCATTACCAGGTCTCTGTAGTATCTAGTCCTTCTCATTGTGTCATTACCAGGTCTCTGTAGTATCTAGAGCCTTCTCATTGTGTCATTACCAGGTCTCTGTAGTATCCAGTCCTTCTCATTGTGTCATTACCAGGTCTCTGTAGTATCTAGTCCTTCTCATTGTGTCATTACCAGGTCTCTGTAGTATCTAGTCCTTCTCATTGTGTCATTACCAGGTCTCTGTAGTATCTAGTCCTTCTCATTGTGTCATTACCAGGTCTCTGTAGTATCTAGTGCCTTCTCATTGTGTCATTACCAGGTCTCTGTAGTATCTAGTCCTTCTCATTGTGTCATTACCAGGTCTCTGTAGTATCCAGTCCTTCTCATTGTGTCATTACCAGGTCTCTGTAGTATCTAGTCCTTCTCATTGTGTCATTACCAGGTCTCTGTAGTATCCAGTCCTTCTCATTGTGTCATTACCAGGTCTCTGTGGTATCTAGAGCCTTCTCATTGTGTCATTACCAGGTCTCTGTAGTATCTAGTCCTTCTCATTGTGTCATTACCAGGTCTCTGTGGTATCTAGAGCCTTCTCATGTGTNCAGGTGGAGCAGGACGGGCCCTCAACGTTCATCTAAACACAAGACATAACACACATGTAACTACATCTAACATAGAATAGAATATAATCCTTTATTCTCATGACACTGGTACAAGGAGAAGAGTAGAGCTGATCAAAGATACAAACAAACAAGAGATGTACACATTCAGCAGGAGAACACATGCACACAACAATCATTCATACTTCAATAAGCATCTCCTCTCCTCTCCTCTCATCTCCTCTCCTCTCCTCTCCTCTCCTCTCATCTCCTCTCCTCTCAATCTCCTCTCCTCTCAATCTCCTCTCCTCTCAATCTCCTCTCAATCTCATCTCCTCTCCTCTCATCTCATCTCCTCTCCTCTCNTGTAACTACATCTAACATAGAATAGAATATAATCCTTTATTCTCATGACACTGGTACAAGGAGAAGAGTAGAGCTGATCAAAGATACAAACAAACAAGAGATGTACACATTCAGGAGGAGAACACATGCACACAACAAGCATACTTCAATATGCATCTCCTCTCCTCTCCTCTCCTCTCAATCTCATCTCCTCTCAATCTCATCTCCTCTCCTCTCAATCTCATCTCCTCTCAATATCATCTCCTCTCAATATCATCTCCTCTCAATCTCATCTCCTCTCCTCTCAATCTCATCTCCTCTCAATATCATCTCCTCTCAATCTCATCTCCTCTCCTCTCCTCTCATCTCCTCTCCTCTCCTCTCAATCTCCTCTCCTCTCAATCTCCTCTCAATCTCATCTCCTCTCCTCTCATCTCATCTCCTCTCCTCTCAATCTCATCTCCTCTCCTCTCATCTCCTCTCCTCTCAATCTCCTCTCAATCTCCTCTCCTCTCCTCTCCTCTCATCTCCTCTCCTCTCCTCTCAATCTCATCTCCTCTCAATATCATCTCCTCTCAATCTCATCTCCTCTCCTCTCCTCTCATCTCCTCTCCTCTCCTCTCAATCTCATCTCCTCTCAATCTCATCTCCTCTCATCTCATCTCCTCTCCTCTCAATCTCCTCTCATCTCATCTCAATCTCCTCTCATCTCATCTCATCTCTCCTCTCATCTCATCTCCTCTCATCTCCTCTCCTCTCCTCTCAATCTCATCTCCTCTCAATCTCATCTCCTCTCCTCTCCTCTCAATCTCATCTCCTCTCAATCTCATCTCCTCTCCTCTCATCTCATCTCAATCTCCTCTCATCTCATCTCTCCTCTCATCTCCTCTCATCTCCTCTCATCTCCTCTCCTCTCATCTCATCTCCTCTCCTCTCATCTCCTCTCCTCTCAATCTCATCTCCTCTCAATCTCATCTCCTCTCATCTCCTCTCCTCTCCTCTCATCTCATCTCCTCTCATCTCATCTCCTCTCCTCTCAATCTCCTCTCATCTCATCTCAATCTCCTCTCATCTCATCTCTCCTCTCATCTCTCCTCTCCTCTCATCTCCTCTCCTCTCATCTCCTCTCCTCTCCTCTCCTCTCAATCTCATCTCCTCTCAATCTCATCTCCTCTCCTCCCCTCTCATCTTAAAAAAAGAAACCCTCTCAGTCCATCACAGTCTGCATCTGAAGGAGGATACAGAAGGTACATGTGTGCTTGTATGTATGTCTTAATGTGTGCATATGTATAAATGTATCTGTTGATATGGTATATATATATTTTTATATATATTTGTATGTTTGTATTCTGGATTGTGGGAATAACCTTTCTCTCTGTCTGTTCTCACAAAGTGAAAGACTGGCTCTAAAGCTGACTTTGAGAATAACCTTTCTCTCTGTCTGTTCTCACAAAGTGAAAGACTGGCTCTAAAGCTGACTTTGAGAATAACCTTTCTCTCTGTGTGTTCTCACAAAGTGAAAGACTGGCTCTAAAGCTGACTTTGAGAATAACCTTTCTCTCTGTCTGTTCTCACAAAGTGAAAGACTGGCTCTAAAGCTGACTTTGAGAATAAGGCAGCGGCTCACCTTGCAGCGGCACACGCCTCCAGCACAGCTCTCTCTTCCTCTCTGGTCGCAGTTATAGCAGTTACCTGGAACAGGAAGCAGAACGTCACCAACTCTCGCCTCGTTAAAGAAACGAGGTGACGCTTTATATTAAGGTACGCACATTCACCATCAACTAGTTGTTAAATAACATGCATGTTAGCAGTACATTGGCTCTTTATTAGTTATTATAAAACACTTATTAAATCCTTATTCTGCATGACCACATTCTACAAGTAATAAGCCATTAGTTTAGAGTCTTTCCTCAATAACCCTCTAATTAGTGCTGATTTGTTGCAAGTAAGGAAGTTGTTGTACATGTTGTATTGTACATGTACATGTTGTATTGTACATGTACATGTTGTATTGTACATGTATATGTTGTATTGTACATGTACATGTTGTATTATACATGTACATGTTGTATTGTACATATACATGTACAATACAACATGTACATGTTGTATTGGTCATGTACATGTTGTATTATACATGTACATGTTGTATTGTACATGTACATGTTGTATTGGTCATGTACATGTTGTATTGTACATGTACATGTATAATACAACATGTACATGTTGTATTGGTCATGTACATGTTGTATTGTACATGTACATTTTGTATTGTACATGTACATGTTGTATTGTACATGTACATGTTGTATTGTACATATACATGTACAATACAACATGCACATGTTGTATTGTACATGTATATGTTGTATTGTACATATACATGTACAATACAACATGTACAATACAACATGTACATTACATCAACATGTACTGTAAATACAACATGTACAATACAACATGTACATGTACAATACAACATGCACATGTTGTATTGTACATGTATATGTTGTATTGTACATGTACATGTTGTATTGTACATATACATGTACAATACAACATGCACATGTTGTATTGTACATGTATATGTTGTATTGTACATGTACTTGTACATATACATGTACAATACAACATGTACAATACAACATGTACATGTACAATACAACATGTACATGTACAATACAACATGTACAATACAACATGTACGTTGTATCTTGTACATTACATGTTGATTGACAAACATGAATACAATAACTGTACATGTACATGTTGTATTGTACATGTATATGTTGTATTGTACATGTACATGTTGTATTGTACATGTATATGTTGTATTGTACATGTACATGTTGTATTGTACATATACATGTACAATACAACATGTACAATACAACATGTACATGTACAATACAACATGTACATGTACAATACAACATGTACAATACAACATGTACATGTACAATACAACATGTACATGTTGTATTGTACATGTACATGTTGTATTGTACATGTACATTATGTCTGTGTGTATTGTACTGTAATGTTGTAATGTACATGTTGTATTGTACATGTACATGTTGTATTGTACATGTACATGTTGTATTGTACATATACTGTACAATACCATGTACATTTGTGTACATGTACATGTTGTATTGTACATGTACATGTTGTTGCATGAGTTTGGTCTCAATAAGCTCAATAAGGGCCTAGTAAGGCAGCAGTACCACAAGAATAGTAATTCTCCCATAATAACACTTAACACATATGATCTATTCTTATGTAACAAGACATGAGACTATAAGTGTTAATTGTGTCTAAATAACTCAAAAGGATGTGTTTCTAACTCAGAACATGTTCCCTAATCTAAAGTGAAGTCTCGTTCATAACCAATAAGCTAATAGTTTGTCTCTAATATGGTAATGAGCAAATGGTTGATGGTGAATATTTGTACCTTAATCTAAAGTGTTACCGAAAACGAATATTAAAATGTTCCTGAATCAGTTTGTACCGTTGACTTCGTTGTTGCCGACGGTGCATCTCTGTCCCAGCGGGGGGTTGCCGTTGTATCCTGCAGCACATCTGAAAATAAAAACAAGACATCGTGCATGAGCAAATATTTCCGGTTAAAGAGGAAACATGTTTTTAACAATGAGGCAGGAAGCTGGGGAGTCTGCAGGACGTACAACACTTGTCCTTTGGGGGGTTATCTTCAACCAAGAACAAAGGACTGAGTCATTCAGACAAATAACATCCAAGCTTTGAAACTGTTCCATCCTGTCAGAGCTCTTAGCCTCATGGTCACACCCAGTCTCACGGCACTTCGTGTTATCGTCACGAAATGTAATCTATTGATTCGAGTTCACCAACAAGATTTTCCCATTTTTTTCATATCACACAGAACGATTTTAGAAGCAATGTATTTCTATTGGTAGTGTGTTTCGTGCCTGCAGCAAATAATAACAAATTAGAAGGAACACAATCCACTATCCAACCTTAGACTAACTTCACCGCTGATGGGAGTGTCCATTTAACCAGAGCCGCTAAAAGTCGAGCTGTATTTTACAAATCAATGAACACAAGATAAAACAGTTTCAGTATCCTGAGGCTCTGAGCCATTGCTTTTCCTCACGGACAGCAAAAAAAGTCCGACATTATAGAATTTAAAAATAAAAACAATAATCGCGGCTTGATATTGAGTAAGAACATGTTTTCATGAACCCCACAGCTTCCGGTCTTCCAAGACCCGAGCGGACAAAAAGACGCAGGCACGAAACATACTACCAATAGAAATACCTTGAAAAAATGGGAAAATCATGTTGGTGAACACGGATCAATAGATTAAATGTATTTCGTGACTACAACACAAGATGCCGTGAGCCTGGGTTGTCATGGTTACACCCAGATCACAAACAGCTTTCCCAGAAATAACACCCTTTGCCTGGAGACGGATGAAGCACAGCCGCTGCTAAAACCCCCAACATGCCTCAGAGGTTGATCCCATCTCTTGTATCAGTCTGATATACTGAGCAGCACCTTCACAGCAACAGAAACATCACCTTAACTCAAACATTGAACTGATATCAGAAGGAAGGACAGAGGAGTGAAATAAAGAGCGTCGAGGAACACGCTGAGCTGCTAACGATAAAGTTCCTGATATGGCGAGAAAGCAAAGCAAGCAAACTACACACTGCCACCAGAGCGATGCTTCTCCACGCCCAGCTGATGTCCGTCTTACCTCACCTGTCCTCTGGGGGGCGCCGTGCGTCAGCAGGACAGCCATGATATGAGCTTTAGGGAACCTTAACTAACTAACTCCTACAACAGTTTCTATGGATCGGTTAACCTTACAGACAGGGTCGTTTATAGAGACAAGGAAACATGTCATTACAAAGGGAAATGGAAAATACAACACAATAGAAATGGTCTTGAAGACACAAACAACTGTTCCTACTAAGAACGGACACACAGCTAGAGATCAACATGGACATTAACAATCTGAAAAAACATTTGAAGTCAGATTTCTTGGAAACTGTGTCGATGCATTGATGACACATTTCCCCCTGTGCTGAGGATGGGACTGATTCTCAGATAGATCAAACTTTGGTCGGGGGGGGGGGGGGGTTACATTTAATGATTGGTCCAGAAAACTGCTAGCCATGCCATAAAACATACTATTCATGGTCCCCAGGGCCCAGGAGTTCAAAACCTTTAATCTCAATCAGATCCGATCAGATTTTGAAATCCCATTTGTTGTGATCCAGGATCAGACAAGTCGGCCAGATGTTGTCCCTGGAGTTCAAAGCAATTCAGGATCAGCCTGATCCAGATTACGACTTTTCAAGATGAACTACCGATCGCCATCTAGGGACATGAAAAATAATACAAGGAAGACAAGAGACCACATTGCAGACATCTATTGTCCGCAATTACTTTTGAAAGGTGATGACATGATGGACTTTTTTTTTGTTGAAGGTATTTTTTCTTTAATTTAAATTACATTTGTGATTGACAATCTTTGCTGTGATATTTTCATGAGCATAAACATTTATGTCATCAACATTTGGTTGAAAACAAAATAGGCCACAACAAACGTGACCAAAAAATGAAAAATAAAATGTATTTCCCATGAAGGCTAAAAATTGTGTATTATTTCAGTTAACAAACTTTGCCATCTTATTTATATTGAAACATATTTTTAAATAAATGGTACAGTACATTTTGCTCTGGTAATCCACTGGAAATCCACCCCTCTGGTGGGATCAGGATAATCCAGTTTTTTGGGATCAAACTGATCCCAATCCTGTGTTGTCGGTTTGAACTACCCGTTTTGAAGATTTGATCCAGATTAAAGCTTGGATTGGATTTCCTGATCTGATCGGATATCAAAGTGATCCTAATCCTGTTTTTTGGTTTTGAACTCCCCAAAATCCAAATCTGATCTGATCAGATAGGGATTAAAAGTTTTGAACTCCTGGGCCCAGAAGATGAATCCAGTTGTTTTTAGATGTGCCTTTTCTTCTAGCGCGACCAAGGTATGCATTTGATCACAAATACCATAGTTTAGCATAAAGGAAAGTATTGGACATGAATTCGTCCTCTGGGGACCATCAATGTCAATCTTTTCCAATGGTTGCATTCATTTAGTATTGCAGCAAGTAGCGGGATGTTCAATTGTTAATTTTGTTTGGAAATATAACCTTTAACGAATGTTCTTCTTAAACCTGGACTAACACAGTTATTCAGTTCATATTGCTTACAGAAAAATGCAGAAAAGAACGTGTCCACCTTGAGGTAGTCTGGCCATAACACAACAGACAACGCATATAAAGCACCAATGCGAACAAATGAAACACAAGACAATCGGCGATCTCTTCATGGCAGGATTCTGGGAAACAGTTCATCATAAAAAACTCCTCAAAATAAACAGGGTGGCATTAAATATCTTGAAAGCCCCTTTTCCAATAACACCAAGGAGTCCCTTCATTAAGTTCAAAATACAAGGTTGCAGTACAAAACATAAATATAAGGAGATATATACAGATGGAGGAGTATTCCTTAGTCGTCGGGGATGATCCTGATGGGAATGGCCAGCCTTCCCAGGACAACATGGAGAGACCCGTCCTGGTTCCTCCCCTTCTTCCCTGACTTGTAATTTCCCTGTAAAAGCTGCAGGAGGTCCAAAACCCCAGGTTGAGATTTAGTCTTCTTTTTCTTCTGCTCAGGTTTCTTAGTTAGTCTCTTTGCAGTGGCAGCTTTGGCTTTAGGAGGAGTTGGTTTCCTTTTGACCGTCGTGTTGGCCTTCTTCTTGGTTTTAGAAGAAGTCGTCCTTTTCACCGTGGCGTTGGACGTCTTCTTCGTGGTGGTCGGTTTCGTGGTTGAGGCCGTTTTCTTCCTGGTATTTTGAGAAACCAACTTGTAAGAATTGTCCTCCGTCTTTTCCCCACCGTTGTGTGACCTCTTTGACTCGCCCTCCGGACTCTTCCCACGCTCCTGAACCTTCTTGGGAACCGGTGCATCGGATCTAAACGCCTTGTGACGTCCGTTGCGTCTGATGGGGGGTGAATCCTTTCGTTTGGCCTGATCGGGCTTTGCTTTGTGAGATGGTGGCTCCAGTTGAAATGTAGTAATCGCTCCTTTAACTTGCTTTGGTTTTGCTTGGCTTGGAACTTGTTTAGCGGTCACAGCGGACCTCCTACCTGCAGTCAACTTTGTGTTAGGCTTCACTGTAGTTTTAGATTTAGATGCAGATTGTGAAGTAGTCCTAGGTCTACTCAGGGTAGTCCTTGTCGAGGCTTTACTTGCTGATTTGAGTTTCCTCACTCTCTGTCGTGCAGTATTTGGTTTGTCTGCTGGTAGTCCTGGGGTCGGTATGCTTTTCGGCACCGTGGCTCTGCTGGTAAACGGTGGTTCTGTGGGTTTAACTCCATGCATTGGGTACAGCGACAAAGGAAGGAGGGTAGCCGGTAAAGGCGGATCCCTCTTTTCTGGTATTGATCGAGAAACATGTCTAGCTCGTTTCATCCTGTTCATCTCCTGAGCCAGCGCCGTGAAGCCGTCGATCAGGATCTCCAGACGCCCCTCTAGTCTGCTCAGACGGGCGTCCATGTCCGTGTAGCCCTTCTCCAGTTCGCCTACCTTCGTGTTCTTCTCCCCGACCGACTGGATGGCGATGAGCTCCCTCAGGTTGGAGCTGAGCTGCAGCTGCTGGTCCTCCATGCGGTGAATGCTGTCCTTCATGTCCAGCGTGTTGCTCTCCAGCATGCTCAGACGCTTGTTGAAGGTGTTCAGGTGCATCCTCAGAAGCTGCTGTAAGCTGGAGTGTCTGATCTCTGGACTGGGGGTGAAGCGAGTGGGGATCCTGGGGGATAATCTGTTGGGAGCGACGGAGACATCGCCCACCCCGGTTGATTTAGTTTCACGAGTGGTGCGGTGGTGGATTGCGGCAGAAAATAAAGTCTGTGAAGGGAGGACGGTTGTTCCCGCGGTCTCATCATCATCTCCACTGCCGTACGGGAAGATCTGTTTCTCCCAGCTGAAGTTAAACACAGCTTCAGCTCCACATCCCACAGGCAGCAGGCCCTCTATCTGCTTCTCCAGGAAGGGGTCGTCACAACTGTCTGCAGGCAGCTTCTCTTCTCTTAATGTCAAAACAGCACAGTCAGGTTTCAGACGTTAGAATCATTTCATAAGTTGCGTCTTACACCCAAAAACACCTCGTCATCTTTGCCCTTTTGGAGCAGCAAAGATTGATCAGCCGGACAGGAGTCCTCATAAATGCCACGACTACATTTATGTCGTAGAAACCCAGAAAATACAATCGTTCTGTGCACAGACCAAAATCACAACAACACCTTCAAACATGTCGCTACCAGCCAAGCGCGAAGCAGAAAGCAACCTCTGAGAAAGCTTAAAGGAGGGAAGCAAAGGACAAAGGACAGCAGAAGAATGACACGGATCATATCCACTATCCAACCTTAGACTAACTTCACCGCTGATGGGAGTGTCCATTTAACCAGAGCCGCTAAAAGTCGAGCTGTATTTTGCAAATCAATGAGTGGTGCAGTGATGACGTGTCTTTGGCTGACAAAGGGTCTATAACTCCAAGAAAACAAACCCCACCAGCAACAAACTTCAGAAGGGTTTTACATTTCCAATTCCTGGACTGACGCCCCCTCCCATCACGACCACAGCCATGCTTCACCTGTGATGACACCCCTGGATGCTCCTGCCAGCCCCCACCTGACCATGGTGCCAGCCCAGTAACCCAAACATTGTCCAGATGACCATCAGAGAACGGCAAAAAGAGAGAGACGAAGCAAGGGGGGGGGGTTCTTACCTTTCACAGTTCCGGCCGGTGTACCCGGGGGGGCAGTTATCACAGGTGGGCTGACCGTCAGCCTCCAGGTGACAGGTGGAAGAGAATCTGTGCAGAAAAAGGAACATGCATGAAGTTCATTGCTGGCATTAAAGAGGCCCTGTTCTGCTTCTGTGGTTCTATAGATGTTAGTGCATGTAAACGGTCTGCAAAGCCTAAATCCCTGTGTTCTCTCCCACTGGTAAACAGGTAAACAGGCAGGTAAACACACAGGTAAACAGACAGGTAAACACACAGGTAAACACCCAGGTAAACAGGCAGGTAAACACACAGGTAAACACCCAGGTAAACACACAGGTAAACAGGCAAACACACAGGTAAACAGACAGGTAAACACACAGGTGAACACACTCCTCACTTCTTTACTGACGTTAACACAGTTATTTTTTAAATTACAATTAAAGAGGCCCTTGTTCTTCTTCTGTGGTGTTCCCTCTCCTGTAGTTTTATAGGCAACGGTCTGCAGAGTCTAAAATCCCCCCTTCACTACTGACGTTAACACGGTTTCTACGTTTTGACATTAGACATACAGAAAGTGAACTCACTGGTTGCTCGAAGCTGTTCCAGGACACGGACACGGCTGACAGGCCTGAGCACCGCCCGTCACCGGGTTGCCATAGAAACCAGTCTGACAGCGCTCACACCTGGGCCCCACGGTGTTATGGAGACACTGCTACACACACACACACACACACACACACACACACACACACACACACACACACACACACACACACACACACACACACACACACACACACACACACACACACACAACACACACACACACACACACATACGTGAGATCCATGGAACAGTTGATGTGTTTCCACATGTTCAGATATGCCAGGAAGCCATTAGTGCATTCCTGTGCTCTGATCAAAGCTCCACAGAGGTCACAGACAAGAAGACGAAGAGGAAGACGAAGATGAAGACTCACCAGACAGCGACCCGTCTCCGAGTCGCAGCCGTTAGCGTGTCCGTTGCAGTCACACCTGTCGCAGGTTCCCAGGTAGAGACCGGAGCTGGAGCGAGTGTAGCCCACATCACACTCCTGCAAACACAGGGAGACAGGTGAGAGACAGGTAGGAGACAGGTGAGACAGACAGGAAGCAGAGAGACAGGTGAGAGACAGACAGGAAGCAGAGAGACAGGTGAGAGACAGGTGAGAGACAGGTGAGAAAGACAGGTGAGAGACAGGTGAGAGACAGGTGAGAGACAGGTGAATGTGTATAATAACATGTAAATCAACATGCACATTTGATTGACATGTGTTGTATTGTACATATACATGTACAATACAACATGCACATGTTGT